ATGTGCCACAGGGACCAGGGGCAACTGGAACAAAAGCACAGCAGCAGATGATTAATTACTGCAAAAGCCAAAAATGGGGAAGAGGAGGGAGAACTGGAGAAGTTGTTTCCCCATTATATTTCCGAACAGAAAGAACGTTTTAGCGCACGCACAAATAGCTCCCTGGGAAGCACTCGCACTTCCTAATTGTTCATAAATTTACTGACAGGTGGTTACACAGTAGGTATAACATTGTGAGTTTCGGTTTTATTGCTTTCCCCATCTCAACGTGAGAACTTGGAGCAAAAGGATGCGCAGCAAGCAGTCGGGAGAGTCTTGTCTGGCAAAGGGTGTTCTGTGTCTGTGTTGCCTTTTTTTGCCCTGTCCCTTCCAATCAGAAGATCATGCAAAGTGTGTTTTACCAGGGGAAGGCTGGGTGAAAAGGGAGTGTTCAAGAGAAGGGAAGATATTCCCGAAACAAAGTGTCTGTAAAGCACATGAGGCTGTTCCACGCCGCTCGCTTGACAGGGAAATTTGACAAGAATCATTCTGTTGACCCAAGTGTAGCTTTCAGATGTGCTTAATCCATTATCTCAATAAAATCAGCTCTGATGAGCCTCTCAGACTGGGCTGTCATCGGAATGGATTCGATCAGAGATGATAATCCTTGCTGCCAGGAGGAAACGTGTTGTCAAAACTCTTGATGCTGCTTCCTTGTCCCAGTTGCTACCCCAAAGACTAGATGGGACACTGAGGTGTGTTGAGCAGTGTCCTGTACCCCAAAAGTAAAGGGAAACATCCATTTCTCTCTGCCAGGCTCACAGGGGTGTGCCCACATTTTAGAGCTGTTCTTTGGAAGGTCTCATATTGCTGGTGCCTTCAGCAGACACACAGAGACCGTTGGAGGCCCCGGTGCCATCCTGCTGTGCTTCTCATCAGTGAAGGAGATGGAAAGCACAGGCAAAATGTGAGCTTTCAGCATATTTGCCTTCTTTGTGCTGACTTTCTGTACGCTAATGAGACCTTGCACGGTGACACCTCTGACAGCTCCATCCTGCCTGTGCCGGGGAGGCTCATGCAGAGCTGGAGGTGCCTGGGGCTATAGGCTGCTGAGTTGCTGGGGGAGGAGGTGGTGTGAACTCCAGCAGGCACCTGACCCCTGCTAGGGTGACAGTCCCTCTCCCTGGTGGTGACAGCATCACCTGTCAGAGGGCACAGGCCCCTGCTGCAGCTGGAAAGGGGAAGGAGCAGCATGAATGCCATGTCTCCTCAGACCAGGAGGTGTCTGAGAGGGGATGCTAAGTGAGGTGCCAGGGAATTCAGGAGCACAGCACCCTGCAGAGCACTGAGGATGAGATGTCCCCCTCTGTGGTCCCTGTGGGAACCCATCCCCCGAGCAGAGATGGGCAAGTGGCTGTCACCTGGTGGTTTGAGGAGCCCATGGGTATCCATCTATCATCTCCCCTTATCAGCAGTGTAGGAAGGAAGTCTCTCTGAATGGATTAGGAGCTAATGATGTGGAGGAGGGACATCAGTTGCATGTGTCAGCCGTGGTGCTCAGGCAGGCTCTCCGCTCCCAGGCGTGCAGCAGTAATGATCTAGCAGCTAAAAATAGTGCAGGGCCATGGTGGTGAGTGATTCCAGTAGGGATCAGTGCTCCAGAGCACCAGGAGATGAGTCAGTCTGCACGCGGTCATGTGCGTCAGCGTCATGTGTAGGCACTGACCACACAGTGATGAACAATGTGCTGTCCCTTCCCGCAGGGGTTAGCAGGGAACAGATGTCCCTGCCAGCAGTGACCATCCCATCACGCTGGGCTGTCTGGTAGTGGCTCACAAGGTCTGAGCTCTCCAGAGATGGGACAAGTGCAAAGCCATCGCTGGTGCCTGCGGTGGTACTGGTGGTGTTTGGGAGAGATATCACCAAGGGGTGACACCCCAGCCAGTCCCACAGGGCTGTTTGCAGCCCCAGTTTGGGCCTTGAGGAGAGGAATAGCACCTCAGAGTCCCAGTGAATGGTGGCAGACACTGCCACGCTCCAGAGCACGACAAAGAGCGTGAATTGGCTCGTCGGGCGGTTCAGGTCTCGAGTGGGAAAGGAAAGAGATAAATCACAGGCTTATTGTTATTGAATTTAGTGGCATCGCTTTCACATTCAATTTCTCTCGCCGGCTTTGCGAACAAACAAGAAATTACAGTGCAAATGTATTTTTTGGCTTAACCAAACCTTATGCATTAACTTCCCCATGATTAATATTACACAGGGTTGGGGAAATCCTCCACGGGCTTAACCAAACCTTATGCATTAACTTCCCCGTGATTAATATTACGCAGGGTTGGGGAAATCCTCCACGGGCCGCTCGCCGCTCCGCTGAGACCGCGGCGCTCCTCGCTTCCCTGGGATTTATTCTGTCCTCAATTTGCTTGTAGTTATGGATTTGTACAAGGAAGGTGGGACTATGGATAAGGGAGGGGTAGAGATTTTGTTCTGTCCTGTTACTTCCTCCCACAGTTGTGTGGAGGAGAGGGAGGGAAATGTAGAGAAGCAAGGGTAATCCAAGGGAAGGATGCTGTCAACAGGTAAAGGACTAGGAACAGCATCCACAGTCATGCTGTGGAGAGCTGTGAGGTGTTAGTAGCTCTGTCTGTGTGGGGGATGAGAGAGCCTTTGGACTCCATGCCCAGCACTGATCACAAACTGTCCTGTCTTGAAACAAGGCAGCTCCAGTGGGATGCACTTCTCAGATCAGGTGTGTGTGTGTGTACTTTGGCCTCGTGGTGTTTATGGGGCATGGCTGCAGGTTGGTTTTATCCACACAGTTGTGTTTGCCACTGAACTCACCTTGCCTTGCATCCCTACATGGCCCCATCTCCCACCTGCTTCTCCTGTAGGATTAAATCCTGCCATGGCAAAGCCAGTGTGTCCTTGAGACACCATCTTTGACAGCCCAGTCAGTGGGATCTATAGAAATGTAATCACAGTCCTTAGATGTCCTTCTCCAAGTCCTGGTAACCTCATAGGCAACGATTGCTGTCATGACAGGGTATTGAGCCATCCAGTGGGGTCCTCATGCTCTCCATGGGTGTCCTTCCACTGCAC